GGCTGAGACTGAGAAAAATTATGAGACTAAAGTAGGTTAGGAAATTGAGACGAAGACAACTGGAATGAAGGAGTATAAGAGCAGATAGGAGAGGGACAATAGCCCCAGAAAAATTGTGTGAGAGTAAGAGAAGAAATATGAGAGGTATGAGGAAGAGTAAAGAAAGGAAAACAGGATTCATTAAAAACCACATGTCTTGAAATGTGAACTTTACCAGTAACAGGATCCAAGCACCTGTAACCCTTCATAGAAGGATGATAACCTAAAAAGACACAAGAGGTGGATTTGGGTTGAAGTTTATGATGAGTATAAGGCTTGAGCCAAGGAAAACATTGGCACTCAAAAACTCTAAAAGAAGCATAATCAGGAACATGATGAAATAGAATTTCATTAGGAGATTTGTGATGGAGAGTGGAACTAGGGAGTCCATCGATAAAAAAGATTGAGGCGGCAATGGCATCAAGCCAAAAGGCAATAGGGAGATTAGATTGATGAACGAGAGTAATGACAATTTCAGAGATGTGTCTATGTTTTCTCTCAGCTACACCATTTTGTGCTTGAGTATAGGGACAACTAAGTTGATGAATAATGCCAAGGGAAGAAAGAAAAGAATCCAATTTCTTATTAACAAATTCAGAACCACCATCAGTTCTAAAAATTTGAAGACAAGTATGAAATTGAGTCTCAACAAAAGCTTTAAATTCTAGAAATTTAGAGTAAACCTCACTCTTGCAATGGAAGGGATAAACCCAAAATCATCGACAAATAAAACATTGTATTTAAAAGCATTTGAGGAGGAATCGAAAGGCCCCATACATCACTATGAATTAATGCTAAAGGTGCATTCACAGAAGTAGTGGACAATTTGAATGGCAACCTATGAATTTTAGCAACAACACAATGTGTACAATGTGAATTCTTATTATAAGAAGCGGTAGAACAATTAAATGGTGTATGCTTTATTTGAGGAAGATGTTTAGAGATATGCTGAAACTTCAAAGGAGATGGATGCCCCAATCTCTGATGTCAGGTGTAGGTATTAACAAATGAAGATGAAGTGGTGTGTGAAAAATCTAGAAATCCCCTAGATGTTGATTTGTGATTATGTATCAATTTTAAGCAGTAAACAACAATCCCAATCAAACAATCAAGACAAATCGACACAACGATTTTACATGAAAAAATCACAATTGGACACCTCCAATTGTGATAAAAAAATCACGGGCAACAGCCACAAAACAATCCACTAAGAAGATATAAAGGAATTACACAGGTATACTCTCAATTACCTAGCGAATCCATGCCAGAATTGAACTAACCTCTATGTGTCTCTTCCAACCCCGTCTTCACCTCGGAATTATCTTGACAATGAGCCACTCCGGAATCTACCAAAGCTTCAGGCTCGAATTCTTCAGAATCTACCGAAGAACAACTCTCTCTTTTGTGTAGAATAAACAAACAAACCTTTGTTGTATAATCTTTAAACTATGAGTTGAATACTCAAACAAAACATCAAAGAAAACTCACAAAATATCCCCAGATATAAATCCTAGAACCCAAAAAGAAGATCTGGAGTAGTAATTCTAAAATCTGACCCAACACGCGAATTTATAGAATCTGTCCCGCGATCTCCGCTCGAGCGTCAGATTGGCTGCTCGAGCGGACCTACGCTCGAGCGTGGAAAGTTATGCTCGAGCAGGAAAAAACAACATCTAGTATTTTTGCAGGCGAATAAACTTCTGACTGGACTCAAGCATTCTCTGCTTGAGCGGTGGAATGTCCGCTCGAGTGGACAGGCAACTTGGAATGCATTTTTGCATTTTGCTTCGGGGCCGCTGCCCCTCGACCCCGCCGTGGAGCTGCCCCGGACCTGCCAAAGAGGCGCTGCCCCTTGGACCCCCGCGAGTTGACCGGGCAGCTCGATCCCCGTAATAATTAGCGAAGTGGCAATCTTGAAAGAATTAACATCACAAAATTTCTCTGCAAGGCACAATTCGGGTTGGATCCGCACCCCAAAACTCATAACCTCACTGCAATAAAAATGCGAATAAAATTACAACACAAAGGAGTTTTTTCAAACGGGATTGCCAAGAATAAAACCTAACAGTGTGAAATGCCTCAGGGAAAAAAAAGCAGTAGAAGATTGAGCAAATTGATATAGGCCATTCACATTAGAGCCTCTATGAAGAACCTCGATCGTAAGCTTATAGAGACCCTAATTTTTGGTAATTACACATGAAACCCTGAGCCTTAGTTTAATAACATTTCAACACCTAGTTTCGTAAAAATTTGCAAAATGGCCCAATAAAGAATAATTTTCCTGTATATTATCAAAATTAAACTGAGAATAACCACCTTACAATTGGAAATACCCTAAAACTTGGTTTTTATTTATTTATCCTCAGTTTATAAATTAATTCATACATTTTATTTTTATTTTTATTTTTGTCTTTGTTGTTCTTTTATTTATTATTTATTTGAATAGAAAACTATTGTGTATTTGAATATATACATAGTTTAAATATATACATATATAATATATATTATTATAAAATATGTTGGTGGAAGAGTTGGTTGGATAACAACAAAAAAATAAATAATAAAAAAAACAAAAAACAAATATCTAGATATTTATTTAGTTCCCTTAGCAATTAAGCTACCTTATACTCTATAAATTGAGGGCTTGTCCAAATCCACTCCCACGTTTTTAAAAAAGCCCAAGGAGAGGGTAAGAGAGGGAGAGTTGGCTCAAGGGAAGTAGAGAAGTAAGAAGAAGAAGAAGAAAAAAAGAAGAGAAAAAGAAGGAATTCTTGAATGTAAGAACATACCTCTCTCTTAATTTCTCCAATCCTTTCATCATCTCATTCTATTGTCTAGTATGTCTCTTGTGTTACAAATTAATGGTCAATAGGGTTTTTGGTGTGTGTGAAAGTATGGGTATGATATGTGTCATTGTCTTGCAAATTTGTGAAATTAGGCACTGCTGCAACTTCTCTAATTTAAAAGAAATATCAAATCTATCTAATTCTCAAATCTGAATTTATTGTAGGATATGTTATGTGTTTAGAGCTTGTGGAAATTTTATTAGCTCCTAATTGTTTGTTTTTAGGGCTTGGGTAATTTGTTGAAAAATCTGGTCCAGAGTCTCTGAAAAACAATCCACTTTTAGAAATTTTATAAAATTCTAGAAAAATCATCTCATGTTGGTTCTACTGTCAAAATTTAGAACTCTGAGTCCTGTTTCCAACAAATTTTATTTGAGTAAAAATCGTCGGGTAGATTGAGAGAAAAGCTAGTTTTCCCAAAGGTTGACAAATCTGGACAGGTTTTCGAATATAGTTTGTAGATGAATTTTTGGAGGTGATGTGCAACTTCTGAAAAATTGGAACTGAAACTAGACAGATTGAATATTGTTTCTGTGCAATTTCAGCCTCTAATTTGACCTATAAGTATTTTTACCAAGCATTCTTTTTAGCCCTGCAGAACTGAACTGTGATGGAAATGGTGTTTTATTGTGTTATTTGTCTCTAAGTATTCAAAGCATGCCTAATATTATTTGCTTGCCTTACCATCCTTATGTGAGTGTATCATGGCTATATTTCTTCTCTTATGTTTTGTCTCATGCTCTTTATTATTACCGAATTACCGATCTGACTAACTTGCTCGGCAAAAGATCCAATAAACGGGAAATGATAAGGGGTTGACAATGGGTGACGTTCACATTGGTGTTGGAATAATTATTACATATGAATGGCATGATTATGATGGGATTAAAACCAAATGAGTTAAGTCTTGCGCAAGCGGTCTAAGGATCTAGGTTGACATGGATGTATTCAGACTCTATGCGGTGGTTTCGGGGTGTAAGCGAGCCCTTTGGTATGGTATGTTATGTGCAGGTTGTAAGCGAGCCCTAGGCACGATTTGGGTGTAAGCGAGCCCATTGTTTGGCCGTCCTTTTGAGGTCCATCAATGTCACTGACTAGTAAATAACCAGGAGGTGGGCATAGGTGGTAAGGTCTGCAAAGCAGCAAAAGGGGGAGTTCTGAATAGTCCGGTGTTCAATCCGTGTGGTTGGGTAGAAGGATCTCTTTGGGAGATTCTAGATGCCTAGTCTAACTACTAATTCGTAAAACCTTATTGTAAGTACGTTATGTATTCCGATTTGTTCTGTGTATGGTTGATTGGTTGGTAGAAGATATGGGGGTGTGTGTGTTTTTACTGGGCATTCCAAGCTCATGGCGTGTCATGCCAGGTGATGATGCAGTTTACAATGATGAAGGTTATTTCGAAGGCAAACGAGATGAAGTGTTGGAGCTGTGGCATTTGAAGACTTAGACTAGTTTTTTTTTTCCTTTTGACTTTTGGTTTGGCAATGTTTTGGTAATCCTGTAATGGAACATAAACGAATTATCTGTGATATTAACTCTGGTTATATATGTATATTAAGATGTTCTGGTCATCTATTCTACTTGTGTTGTATTATTGTGCGTATTTAACGGCCCGGAAGTTGGGGCGTTACAAAGCTTGCCCTGGGTGACAAAAGAGTGAGCATCAAAAGAAATCACACAATTATGATCCCTAGTTAATTGTTGAACAGGCAAGAAATTAAAGAGAATAGAGAGCACATGTAA